TGGGAGATGAAGAATCTGTTTTAAGAATCTGATGCCTGATAGGTTGACCAGGCTCTAAGGAACAGACCCAAGAGCATCTGGGGAGTACAAATTTGGCTTGAAAGGCCCTTAGAAAATTTTTTTTACCAAAAATAATAGAGGACATGAATAAGGGGTGGGGGTTAGTAAAGTAGAACTGAGACAAGAGAGGGTTGCCTGAATACCCCTCACAAAATACATTGTGTGAAATTCTTAAAGAATCAACAAAAATAAATAAAAAGCCAGGCATAGTGGCTTTTAATCCCAGCATTCCGGAGGCAGAGGCAGGCAGGTGTTGGTGAGATCAAGGCCAGTCTGGTCCATACATAGTTAGTTCCAGGGCAACTGGGACTACAGGGAGATCCTGTCTCAAAAGTCCAAAATAAATAAATAATTTTTTAAAAACTTAAACATAGGACTTGAGAGAGTACACAGAGTCATGCAAATTACAGTCTAGTAAAGGAAAAACATTAAAAACCTCAGGCCTCTCTCCAACCACAGGCCTCTCTCTGGTGTAAGTCCATCCCACCCCTCTCGCCACGACTCCCCCAGCCTCATTCACCCTCCCATTTCCCCCACCCCGCTCTCCTCCTAGCCTGGGTCCTGTCCCATTCCTTCTCTTGGCACCCCAGACACCTGGGGAACTGACATTGCTTCCTGATCATTTGCATCCAGACCAACTCAGTTCCTTCTCAGGTCCCCAGGAGCACTCTGGGCCTGGCCCCACCCTTACCTCCCTCTACTTCCCTAGGCCTGCACTACCCGCCAGCCTCTTTCTTGGATGCCAGGGCTGACCTTTCCTCTTCCTGATCCTTTGCATCCAGACCAACCCAGCTCCTCAGTGCAGTCCCCAAGAGTCCTTGGGGCCTCGTCCCGCGCCAATCTGCCTTTGCATCTCTGGGGTGCACAGCCACCAGCTGCCCTAGACCAGCATCTTGCCTGGGCCAGGCTCCCAGGCCAGTCCAACCCCCAAATTCCTAAGGCCAAAATCATTCCTGGGAGGGATCCAAACCGTAGGAGAAAGCCTGAAAACATCTGACCCTCATCTGAATTGGGCCTCTGTGGGAACTCCTGAAGACAAAAGCAATCCGGCCACTCCAATATAAAATCAAAAGAGAGAACTGGAAGCTGAGAGGAACCAGCTTTTCATGCTCAAAAAGTAAACCACAAAGACATAAAGTTCACAAAAAGAAGAAGACCTAACCTTGAAGGCTTGAGTCTCACACAAGAATCAGAAACTACAAAAGAAATTCACATGTCAAAATCACAGAGAAAAAACAATAACAT